GTACACGCCCGCCCCATGGACGCTGCTCTACGCCGATGATGTGTTCCTGGCTAACCTGTGCAAGGCTGAACTCGAGCACCTAGTCCAACAGTGGCACGACCGCCTCGAGCAGTTCGGGCTCCGGCTGAACCTAAAGAAGTCCGAATACCTGACCACTGACAATGAAATGATAGGCTCCATCCACGTGAACGGGCAGGAGCTACCGCGCGCCTCCACCTTCAAGTACCTGGGAACTATTCTTGGGGAAGAAGGCCTACTACAAACTGAGGTGGCAGCCAGGATCAACGCAGCGTGGGGCAAATGGAAGTCCGTCACGGGCGTCCTCTGTGACAAGAAAATGCCGATGCGCCTGAAGGCGAAAATCTATAACTCTGTGGTGCGCCCCGTGGCCATATACGGCGCAGAGTGCTGGCCGGCGACCAAAGAAGTCGAAAGCAGACTCCAGATAATGGAGATGCGAATGCTCCGATGGTCGGTAGGCCTCACCCTACTCGATCGCGTCAGGAACGAAGAAGTGCGTAGACGGTTCAACGTCGTGCCCATCCCCACGGTCATGAGGCAGTCCCGGCTACGATGGTTCGGCCACGTGAGCCGCGCCAAGGAAGAATCTATCATCAAATCTGCAATGAAGGTGACTGTCGGAGGAGCGAGACCGCGTGGTAGACCTAAGCAACGCTGGATGGACACGATCAAGGCCGATCTAGAGATCGCGAAGGCAGACCCGACATACGTGGTAGACAGAGAGGTGTGGAAGCAGTACTTAAGGACATTAGCGGACCTCGCCCGAGCGCGAGACAAACGCTGAAGAAAAAGAAGAAGAAGACTCATTTGAACGAATGAAGTAAAACTTACGGGTGCAGTTGGCTAACATCACACAGAATGATGTGTTTTGCTTATCTGAAACCTATGATATGGAAAATTTGCTTTCTACGTGTTTAGTTCCTGTCTGCACTCCTTCTGCAGTAATTCAAAACTTCAGGATTTGCTGCTTTTTAGGCAATTGCTTTACACACCTCAATGGTAGCAGTCCCTGTAAATATAACTTGTGCAAAAGTAGTTAATTGTACATTTTCAAGTAAAAAACCTCACTGTAATTGCATTAGCTAATCTACTTTGAACTACAGCTTTTGAAGAGACTTTCTTTCACTTTGCCCATGTTTGGCCTACCGCAAGGATGGTTTTTTACATGTGGTCAAGAAACTTTTAATTATATTCCTGTTAATATTAGTGAAGCGCAATGCTGCCTCAGCTGACTGATTCCTGTTTTGCTTTTTAAACAACAAATTCATCATTTGAATCATTCTCAATGTGGGGTCACACTAGATAACTTGTGACTCTGAAGCAACTTTACTTAATAAAGTAGAATACGTATTGCTAGCTTTGTCTATAGTGGGCGTGCCAGCAATTGTTGCTTGCGCTTACCTTAATATTAACTCTGTTGCATGTAATATTTTACACAATTTGGCCTCAGATTTGAAAATTGGTAATTTAGGATCTTGGTGGGAAAGCTTTTGGGCTTGATTACCCACAGGCTTAATGGGAAAAATGTTACGCTATGTAGTCATTATTTGTGCTTTAGTTAGTGGGTGCTGCTTTGTTCAATGTCTCCCTTCTCTTTGCAACATATGTATCATAGCTTTTCTCCCTAAACCCTCTCCTACATTGCCTCAGGGTCAGGTATGTGCCCTGTATAAACAACTGCAAGTGTGCTCTTCTACGGATTATTATAAGTCCCTTACTAAACTCTTCTTATGACTATCCTTTGTCTAACCAAATAAAAAAGAGTGAAATGTAGTAGCAATTGAGAACCTTTAGGTGACACTAGCGGCACACCTCAGCATCCTAGACCTACAGGGGCCTTTTGGCTACTGGCATGATCTCATTCCCTATACCTTGATGAAGGTGGAAAGTCCCAGACTTTCCGGACTTACAGGTGACCTCATTTTACTAACATTACCACTATTCCTAAGGATTGGTTGAGAGGTTGTACCAATGTCATTGGGAGGTTTCACCCATGTAGGATCTATTCTCCAATCCAGATACTGTATCTACGTTGCCTTTGTCTTCTTGTAAAAACCCTATAAATGTAATAAACACTGCCCAGGCAGTCAGACATCTTGGCACCCTGCACAATGACTGATCTTTGAAATCCATCACTTACTATGTTACAGAGCCTGATTATGACATCGAAAAAGTAAACAAGTTAAATTCACTACTAACATGGGCAACATCCTGCCCACACGCTTTTATCTTTCTTGGTGACTTCAATTTACCTCGTATTAACTGGACCCTAAATGAATGTACAACTGAACTCATACATGCAACCTTCTATAATGCTGTAACAAATCTGGGACTGGAACAACTAGTAACCAACAATACTAGACTTAACTGCCTTGATCTCATCTTCTGCAATAGTTTGAATTCAATTTATGGAATACAAATTAAAGAACCCTTCTCCAACAGTGACCACAGCATGATTGACTTTTGTCTCAACATACGTCCACACAAAAACCATCACAATGACAAAATCCCCAATTATAACTTCAAAAAAGGCAACTATGATCTTATAATCAACCATCTCTCATCTCTTGATTGGCAAATTCTATTCACTGGATGCAATACTGTTGAAGAACATTACAACGTATTTTTACTTGAAGTCAAAAGAGTCATCAAACTATATGTACCAATAACAACTCCCAAAACCAGGAAAAGCAAATTACTCATAAGAATAAGGTAGCTCCAATCCAAAAAGAAATCTCTTTGGCGGAAAAACAAATCTGGTCACGTTGCCAATTTCAAAAGCCAATACAAAAATTTATGCCACCAGATAAAGACTGAATGCATCAATTATCACATTAAACAAGAGGAAAACCTTCTACGTACCAATTCCACCCACGCTTTCTACAATTTTGAAAACAACAAACTAAAAGACTCAAGGTCCATCTCACCTCTGAAAGGACCTAATGGTAAAGACTGCAATGATGACACCATTAAAGCCAACCTTTTTAACACATTCTTTGGCTCAGTATTTGTAAACAGCAATGGATCATGCCCAATATTTCCTAGTCAAACCACAGACATTTACAATGATCTAATACATATCAATTTTACAGAAGACAATGTTGAAAAAGCACTATGCAATCTAAAACCATCTCTATCGATTGGACTGGATGGAATATGTACCTACTTCTTAAAAAAGCTATCCACTGCCATGGCCGAGCCTCTAAGCATAATCTTTGAAAAATCTTTCAGGACCAGCTCCTTGTCAATCTTATGGTCACTAGCCACGGTCATCCCCATCTTCAAAAAGGGAGACACCAGCCTAGTTGAAAATTACAGACCAATCTCTTTATGCTACGTCACCTGTAAAGTCATGGAATCAATTATTAACCAATCCATTATCCTCCATTTACAGACAAACAACCTACTCTCTAACAAACAATTTGGTTTCAGAAAAAACTATTCTGTAACCTGCAATTCTTACACTGCAAAACCATATACACAACTTGATCAGGGCAAAGCAATAGACGCAATTTACATAGACTTCTGTAAAGCCTTTGATTCAGTGGTACACGACAAACTACTCCTAAAACTAAAATCTTATGCTATCTCTGGACACCTGCATAACCGGATAGAAGCATTCCTGTCAAACAGACAGCAAATGGTCAAAATTGGGAGCGTCCTATCAAATTCTGTACCTGTCAACAGTGGTGTCCCCCAAGGCAGTGTTTTAGGACCAACTCTCTTCATACTCTACATAAATAACCTCTGTGATCATATTAAGAGCAACTGCGTTCTCTTCGCTGACAATGTAAAGCTATTCAACACCACCGACAATACTGCTACCCTTCAAAAAGACCTCGACTATGTATCAGAATGGTCAAACATATGGCAACTTCAAATCTCAACAAATAAATGCTCTGTCTTAAACATTGACAAAAAAAATCAGAATAAAATACAAGCTGAAGAGTCAAGACCTTCTTGATGATCCAAACTCTGTCAAGAACCTTGGAGTACTCATCTCTAATGTGCTAGAGCCCACTGTAACTACAGTACATAGCCAAAAAGGCATTAAGAGTTGTTAACCTAATCCTGCGTAGCTTTTTCTCTGGTAATATCACACTACTAACTAGACCATACAAAACATTTGCTTGACTAATACTTGCATACAGCTCATCAATCTGGAACCCGCATTATGTATCTGATATTAATACAGTTGAGAAAGTCCAGAAATATTTCTCAAGAACAGTTCTCCACTCCTCTACTTGTTTGCAGAATACCTTATGCCACCAGACTTGAAATTCTAGACCTAGAAAATCTAGAACTACACCACCTTTGGTCCGATCTTAGTACATAAAATTATACATTGTAATGTCCTACCTGTCAATGAATACTTCAGCTTCAACCATAACAATACAAGAGCACACAATAGATACAAACTCATGGTAAACCGATCTAAGTATAGTACATACAATTATACATTGTAATGTCCTTCCTGTCAATGAATACTTCAGCTTCAACCATAACAATACAAGAGCACACAATAGATACAAACCCATGGTAAACCGCACCAAACTTGATTGCAGGAAATACACTTGAGCAACAAAGTGGTCAATGTCTGGAATACTCTATCTGACTCTGTGATTTCTTCCCAAAACCCCAAAAACTTTAACCTTAGGCTGTCTATTATTGACCTCATCCCTTTCCTAAGAGGTCTGTAAGGGGTGTGCATAAGCGCACCTACGTGCCTACCATCCCTGTCCTATTGTTTCTTTTTTTTCTTATTCACATCCATTTCATGTATTCATAACCATGTTTATACTTATACCCGTTAGCTAATAATCGCTTGATAAAATAAAATAAAAAATTCGGAACATCATGGCGACGAACCGGATGGCAATGGTGCTTGAAGGCTCAGATGTCAGTGAATCGCTTTACTGGTTCTGCTGAGCCCCTACGTAGTCGGGAACGACGTCGAGGTGGGGGAGGAGGAGATGCTGATCACTGTGCCGCCGCAAGAAATTGCCGCTGATCGTTCATTCATCCATGCATCCATTCATTCAAAAGCTCTGCCACGCTTTTCCTGGAAGATTTTGATGTAGCCGTGGACCCTGACATCAGCATGTGATGACGACTGAGAAAATATTTACACACGTTCCGGTTTAGCACGTCCTGTAAAACCCAGCCTAACAGGAGCTCCCGGCGCCCCAGCGAGGTATCTTACAGAAGCCGCAAGAAAAAAGCGCAAGGCCGAGACTCAACCGAGGCATCGTGGTTTGGATTCTTGGCTGAGGGAGAGACAGAGAGAAAGGCGTCGCTCACCTTTGCAGGTAAATTGGGTGGGCAAGACAAGCCCTCTTCCCCACCTCGCTTTAGACTCGAGTCTAAATACGAGAAAGCCCGGGGCCTGTCGGGGCAGATCGCTCGAAAGGTGGCTTAGTGTGTCGGGCCGTTTTTCTCCATCCGCATATCAGGCAGGCGCAGAGAAGGAAAGCTGGCGTGAGATGCGCTACTGCCTTGCCCCGGGCAACCTTGCCTGGAGGAGAAAACCGCGTGGCGGGCGATGAATATTCACGTTCCTAATACGCAAGTTGGCCTCGTCTCCCCCGAGCACTGAGGATAGTGATTTCACTAGACTTTTAGACGGGCGAACCATGTTTTTATCCCCCCCCCCCCCCCAATTTCCTCTATTATTTAAAAGAAAAAGGCGCGGAACAGTATTGTGGGTGTCTGACGATTCATTTCCGTTGGAGAGAAAGATACTCTAAAGAAAAATTCGTGACAGATAATTAAAAGGAACAGTTAAGGGTAGAACTCGAGTGTTGCTTCTGTGCAGAGCTTTTAGTATATCTTGGAAAATAAATGAAACTCCCAGCCTTTCAGAGTTTGGAGGCGGGAAAAGGGAGCGGATGATGAAATTCTTTTGTCCTCTTTTTACAGAAGATTTCTACCTGAAAATACCTCTGCGAATTGTCGCCTTTTAAATTGCGCTTTACTGTATTCTAGGCGCTTTTTAATGAACTTAGTACGGCCTTTAATTAAAAGAAAAAGAAGCAATTTATTGACTAAAAACCGCGTGCATTTGTGAATTTCTTTATTCATTTAAGCTTCGTTCTAACCTTGGCCATATCCATTCACATTGAAAGGAAGGGTGTCCTGCTGAATCTGAATTGCTTTTTTTAAATCATTAAACCCAATGTCTTTTTAAAGCCCTGCTAAAGTCTGTTGTCTATTGAAATATAACTGGTGCTTTACAGATTCTGTAAAGTTTTTTTCCAATTTAGGCATTGGTTAATAGAAATAATTGACCTTCATTTCTGGTTCTTTCTCTCCTTTATTTCACAGGGAGTTGTGGTATGCTGCGAATGCAGGCCAAGCCCCAGCATGCATAAGAGACTTAGCATCTTTTCTTATATTTGTTTCAGGAAGAATCTATTCTTTTATTTCATGGGTTTTACAGACCACTGTATTGCAAGAACATTTGTTTTGTTTGTGTGCAAAGCAGTGTAGGAAATTAGCACCCACCCCTCCTAGAAAAATGAAATATCCTAGGAAATATTAAAAAGGCAGAATGGCTCCCCTAAAAGGGAAATCAAAACTCAGAGAGGCAGAAGCTCACTCCCCACCTTATTAATGGATGGGCCATTAAGGACTGGGTCAGTATTCTACATAACAAAGCCCTCTACCCATCTCACCACATGGCCTGGAAGATGGACCACACGGCTTCACTCAGGTGGTCCAGACAAAGCCTATAAAGTTAGCTAAGACCCCCGCCCCTGGGAGTCTGGCAGTCAATGTGATACATTTCTTGCACAGGAACAGGAAACACTAAGGTGGGGTATAAAATTGTTGGAAGAAATATCCTTCTGGGTTCAGTTCCAAGTGGGGAAGAAAGACACTGGAAACGTGGTGACTGCTTGGAAAGATGGTCTAATGGTGGACAAGACCACATAGCTTGGAGTTCTAAAGTGAAAAGGATGATTATATGCTTCAAGATATTGGATGAAAGAAAGGAAAGGGCAAGATGCTGAGAGCCCCTTAATTTTATACCCTCTGTTGGGCCCCACCTTAGTGTTTCCTGTTCCTGTGTAAGAAATGCATCCCATTAGCTATCAGACTCCCAGGGGCAAGGGTCTTAGCTTAACTTTGTACGCTTTGTCTGGATCACATGGCTTCACCTGAGTGCTGGCTGATGCAATCTTCCCAGGCCATGTGGTGAGATGGGTAGAGGGCTTTGTTATGTAGAATACTCTGGGGCCCAGGCCTTAATGGCCCTCCCATTAACAAGGGTGAGGGGTGAGCTTTTGCCTCTCTGAGTTTCAACTTCCCTTTTAGGGGAGATATTCTGCTTTTTTTAAATATTTCCTAGGAAGGGTGGGTGCTAACTTCTTACAGCAGAATTAGAACCTGTTGGTTTCACTTATTACTAACATTATGAGGAGAGGGGAAATTTCACATGAAAATTATTAATAGTACAATCATCATGGCCTTTATATCTAATGTATATATAGACCATTTAATCAGGACAGATATCAGATTTTTCCTCTGCTCCATTTTGTGTTATTTCTATTTTTTTCATGTTTCTGCTTACTCTCTATTTTGTTTTGCCATTGCATCTAATTGGACTGAAATGTAAATTATCTTTGTGGATGGTAATTACATTTTGTTTTTTGATAAAACATTTTGCTTTTTGATAAAGCATTTTTGAAGTACAGGGATATTTTGAGCCTCAACAAGTTTGCTTGCTGAAGTTATTTTTAATGTACATGCTGTGCATGTGTGGATGAAGACTGGGACATTCAGCCAACCTTGAAGATCATAATTAGTTAAGGCATTTTCATCTGCTTGTGGTAATGCCATAAGGAACTTGTTCAATTTTCCAATTGTCTTGGCAAGTGTGGACACCTGGTTGATTTTTTAGTTTTCAAAGACAATACACAAACAAACAAAACATAAAACATAAGAACATAAAACATCTTTTCTAAAAACTGCTTATTGAGTTTTAACAAAACAAATAAAAGAAGACATATAGAAAATATAGAATGTTAAATAAGATATGAAATAGTATATAAGGTGAGCATGAATTTGATTTATGTCTGTACAAAAAGATGTAACCAGGGGTTAAGCTGCTTTCTAAAAAGTTTTATGTTTTCATGTTTCGTGTTTTGTTTGTCTATGCTTGTTTATTGAGAATTAATAAAATTTTGGAAGAACGTTGGAAGAGAACATATGAAATTGTAAATAAGACAGATGAAAGTATAAGTACAATGAATAAAAAGATATAGAAATTTAGGTAAAAGAAATATAATTGAATAGAAGTAAAGGGAGAAATAGTGAGAAGTTGGAAAAAGAGTAATAAGATATGAAATTGAATATATAAGATGAATATGCATATCAAATTGTGTTTGTATGGAAATGTGATAATCTGGAACTATGCTGTACTCAAATAAGATGTTTTATTTGTTTTGTTAAAACTCAATAAGCAGTTTTTGGACACCTGGTTGATTTTTTTAAAAAAGCCAGAGGCGGATCTGGACTAGTTCCAGGAAATGTTTGATTTGAAGATTAGACTAAGAAGCTAGGGGGAGGGCAGAATACTCAGAAGGCAGTGAGAAACCACTTTCATAGTTTATGTTGCCAGTAAAGTAATATGGATACGTAGGCATTAAGAATCAAATTCAAATTTACAGAAGACTTTACCTTTTGTTATATTGTAACATGGGAATCCTCATGGTTACGTATTTTTAAGCGAAAACATAGCTTCAGATCAGATTCAGAGTTCAATATTTAAGGTATCATTGTCTCAGACTCCATTCCCACCTAGTAAGGTATATTAATTACACCAGTCCACTTTATCTGGGTAAACGATTTCAGGGGAAAGTATGGGAAAATGGGAAATTTGCATTTGTTGGAAGAAATATCCATCTGGTTCAATTCCAAGCAGGGAGAAAGATACTGGAAACATGGTGGCTGATTGGAAAGATGGTTTAATGGAACAGAACCATCAAGCACGTGGTTCTGGTGCAGCTGACCACATGGAATTGAGAGAGAGGTATTTATATCCTCTCTTGGGCTTCTTGCATAGGAACAGGAAGTTCAAGTGCAAGGATATGAATTCTATTGGTTGTTGTAGGGGTCACAGCTAACATTGAAGGCTGCCTGATCCCCAGGCTTGGTTGAAGTTTGCTGGTTGATTCAGTGAAGGGGTTTGTTGAGTAATTCCTATTATGGCTGAATGGCTTTGTTCTGCCTTTGTTCAAAGCCAGACTTTGCTGCAGGCAGTAATGGATTACCAAATCTTCATTTCTAAAGCTGCCCGGTATCTGGGGGAGGGAGGCAGGGAACTGAGGCTCTGAGTTTCTGTCTCCAAGAGAATGTTTCTCAATTTCTCATCCATTCTATCTTTTTTAATATTTCCTAAAATATTTCACTCTCCTAGGAGAGGGGTGGGTACTTACTTACTTTCTACACATTGGAGATAGAAATTTAATGCTTGTCCTTCCCATCTGCCAGTCTTTTCTGCTTTGAGGCCCAACTTTTCTGCTGTTGACAAATACAGGCCGATCATTTACTCATACAGTGTTTACTCTGAAAGATAATGTGATGATGCAGTATATAGGATAGCAAGAGTAGGACCTACATTTTGTTAAATTTCTTAGTCACCTATCTCCATTGCTTTCTGACATTGAAAACTGATCTTGACTGGAAATCTATCACCACAATGTCAAAAATAAATAATTTTTTCTCATAATTTCCTGGAGCTGAACTAAGACATGTTATCTAATCCACTAAAAGAACAAAGGCATTTATTTAAGTACAGAGAAGAACATAACAATTCACAGTGTTCCCAGACACCTCCATTCTGCAACCTTGCCAAAATATTTCTTCTCTTTCATTATATGTAATTCAGTGTATGTGCGTGCACGCATGTACATGTGCACAGACAGACCACACACACATGTATGTGTATATACATACAATTTTTACTGAATCATCTATCTTCTATCATTCTATCTTCTTTCTGTCTTTCTTCTTTCTTATTCTTATCTTATTATATTTTATATTTATTTATGCTGAAACGCCTCGAGCAATTTCAGCCAAACTTGGTACACAGTGGGAACACAAGGCTTGTGTCTCTTGCACTGCGAACAACATGAGGTAATCGGGAAGGGGGAAAGGGCAGGGGGGAACTTGCCCCACTCTCCCCATGCGCCTGGCCTGGCCACCAAGCTGCTGCTTCTTTCTGTTGTTGTTGTTGTTGTTGTTGTTGTTGTTGTTCTTCTTCTTCTTCTTCTTCTTCTTCTTCTTCTTCTTCTTCTTCTTCTTCTTCTTCTTCTTCTTCTTCTTCTTCTTCTTCTTCTTCTTCTTCTTCTTCTTCTTCTTCTCCTTCTCCTTCTCCTTCTCCTTCTCCTTCTCCTTCTTCCTGCATGTAAGGAAAGCAGCAAAAGTCTTTCTTTCTCTCCCCCAAACTCTGCCAGAAAGGAGTCTTTGGGATCCTGCAAGGCCTCCTGCTCCAAGAGGCTACGCCAGCAAAGACTTATTTCTGCCAGAGTTTAGGGGAGAGAAAGAAAGACTTCTGCTTCTGCTGCTTCCCTTGCATGAAGCCAAAAGTGTTTCTCTCTCTCTCACCGAGAATGGAGCTGGAGACAGTATCCTTCAATCCCAAATAGAGAATGATTGATCGGTAGGAAAATGGGGTAGGGAATTTTCCTGCAGACTTTTTGTGGGATTTTCCCAGGGTGTCTGGTCCACGGGATTTAAAATTATGAGTTTGGTGGTCCCTGAGGTCCAAAAGGTTGGTGACCCCTGATCTAATCCAACCCCCCACCTACCAAGCAGGATACCCTACACCATTTCTGATAGATATCAGTCCAGTATCTTCTTTAAAACTTTCAGTGTTGTGGCTCCCACAACTTCTGAAGGCAAGCTGTTCCATTGGTTGATTGTTCTCACTGTCAGAAAATTTTTCCTTATTTCTGGGTTGAATCCCTTCTTGATCAGTTTCCATCCATTATTCCTTGTCTGCCCTTCTGGTGCTTTGGAAAATAGCTTGACCCCTGCTCTCTGTGACAGCCCTTCAAATGTTAGAATACTGCTATCTTGTCTCCCCTGGCCCTTCTCTTCACTAGACTAGCCATGCCCAGTTCCTATAACTATTCTTCATATATTTTAGCCTCCAGTCCCCTAATCAGCTTTGTTGCTCTTCTCTTAACTCTTTCTAGAGTCTCAACATCTTTTTAATACTGTGGTGATTAAAACTATATGCAGCATTCTAGGTGTGGTCTTATTAAGGTTTTATACAGTGGTATTAATACTTTGCTTGATCTTGTTTGAATCCCTCTGTTAATGCAATTTAGGATTGCATTAGATTTTTTGGCTGCTGCTGTACACTGTTGGCACAGAATTAATTGGTTGTCCACAGACTCAAATATCCCTCTCACACTTACTGCTATTAAGTCTGGTTTCTCCCAATCTATTCATGTACTTTTGGTTTTTCTTGCTTAAGTCTAAGACTACATTTTTCTACATTGAATTTCATTTTGTTAGTTAGGGCCCAGTATTCAAGCCCATCTGACCTATCATCTAGAGTATTGGCTATTCTTGTCAGCCTAGTATTATCTGCAAATTTGGTAGGTTCCCCTTCTATTCCCTCATCTAAGTTGTTTATGAAGAGCACTAAGCCTAAGATAGAACCTTGTGGTACCCTACCGCTTACTACCCTCCATGTAGACATTGTACTGTTAAGGACTACTCATTGAGTACAGTTTGTCAGCCATTTAACAAATCCATCTGATGGTGATGCTATCTATCCCACTTTTTTCTAGCTTACCAAGAAGTAGGTTGTGGTCTATTTAATAGAATTCCTTGCTGAAGTCAAGGTATACTATGTCCACAGTATTTCGCAGGTACACTAATTTTGTCACTATGTCAAAGAATGAAATAAGATTGGCTTGGCATGATCTGTTTTTAACAAACACATGCCGACTTCTAGTTATTACTTTACTCATTTCTAGATGTTTGCAGATCTGTTTCTTGATTATTATCTTCCTGGGTATTGATGTTAGGCTGATTGGTCTGTAGTTTCCTGGGTGTGTTTTTTCTCTGTTTTTGAAGATGGGAACCACTAAAGCTCTTTTCCAGTCCTGTAGTAGTTCCCTGGTGCTCCAAGATTTTTGAAAGATATTGTACAATGGTTCTGAGATGACTCTGCCAGCTCCTTGAAAACTCTGGGATGTAATCCATCCCGGTGATTTGTGTTCATCATGATCAGAAAGGTGTTCTCTTACTATTTTTTTGCTCATTTTAACTTTTATTTCTAGTCTGTCTTTTACAATTCTGTTTTTGGTAGGTTGGACTATAGTTTCTTTTTGCGTGAAGACTGATGCAAAGAATGAGTTAAGCAGCTCTGCTTCCCCTCTACTGAAGAGTCAGGCAAAGGAAAGATTTTCTACATAAATCACCTTTGTTTTTCTCCCTCTCTCTACCCCACAAAGCAGAGAGATTGGACAGGAAGAAATTTCAAGAGAGTACAGTAAGCTAATCGTGTAATGGCTGCCTGCCCTTGGCTTCTGGTGTGATTGCATTGCTTACTCTTTTGCAATCCCTATCTGTCCAATATCTCTGCTTTGGGGGTGGGGGAGAGAAAAATGCAGATCAGGCAGTGAACAAGATATAGATGTGACTATGTCGACTATAGTGATCGTATAACTGGGATGCTGCAAAAATCATAAATGGGCCATAAAATTATTTTTTCAGCACTGTTATAACTTCAAATGGTTGCTGACTAAATGGTTGTATTGAGGCCCTCATGTAAAATATGCTCAGGATTAGCATATTTTATACAGAAAGTAAAAAAAATCCCATTTTCAAATGTCATAGGACAGTGGTTGCCAATCAGTGGGCTGGGGACCACTGGTGGTCCACGAGAAAATGTTGATGGTCTGCAGAGAAATGACATCCCCAAAGCACCCCCCCCCAAAGCAATTAATCCAGGCTGCATGGGAACAGAAGGCCACGTGGCCCGCAGGAACACAAGGCTTGCATCGCTTGCATTGCGAACAACACGAGATAGTGAGGGGAGGGGGGAAAGGGCAGAGGGGGGAACTTGCTCTACTCACCCCACACACTTCACCTGGCCACCGGGCTGCTGCTTTCTGCTTCTGCTTTTGGCTGCACACAAGGAAAGCAGCAAAAGTCTTTCTTTCTCTCCCCCAAACTCTGCCAGAAATGAGTCTTTGGGATCCTGCAAGTATCCTGCTCCAAGAGGCTGCGCCGGCAAAGACTCATTTCTGGCGGCGTTTGGGGGAGAGAACAAAAAGACTTCTGCTGCTTTCCTTGCATGAAGCCAAAAGTCTCTCTCTCTCTCTTTCTCTCTCTCCCCCTGAGAACAGAGCTGGAGACAGTATCCTGCGATCCCAAATAGAGAATGATCGATCGATAGGAAACAGGGTGAGGAATTTTCCTGCAGACTTTTTGGGGAATTTTTCCAGGGTCTCTGCTGCTTTCTGCAGAGACCGTGGGAAAATGTCAGCAAGCCACCATCAGTCAAAATTCATATTCATGGGATTTAAAATTATGAGTTTGGTGGTCCCTGAGGTCCAAAAGGTTGGCGACCCCTATCAGGAGATTTAATTCAGAAGTACCATTACTAGTTGGTTGGTATAACCAGAGTTGTTTTTTTTCCAGTACTTCAGAAAGTGTTGCCTGTGATATATTTCCATAACACTTTGGATAATATTTTAGGATTCTTGATTATTAATTTCTGTAAATTACCTAAACATTTCAAATGACTCCTTTATTCAGTTTTCCTCTTTCGTCTAAACACAAAGGAAAAAAATCAACTTGTATCTTAAGCTGTTATCAAAGTTCTCAGATTGATGTATTGATTGAAAGCAGAGTTAAATGAGTGTCAATTCAGACAATAATTGTTTCAATTGAAAAATATTGCATAGTGCTTTGGGAGATAACTGCTGATCTTACCAATGGTATTGGTTTTTTTAATTACTCTTTTTTTTTCCAGGTTTTCAAACGCATTGTGTACCTGGTCACTTAGCTCCAAAATCCAAAATCCAGTATAAGTTCTCTAAATTAAGATGCCTTTCAAAATAACACTAGAATTAACTGAGATGCAAAATATGAAGGTTCCTGAAGATGACAACATTAGCAATGATTCTAATGATTTTACAGAAGTAGAAAATGGACAAATGAATAGGTGAGTAGTTTTCTGTCCCTAAACTGACCATTTGAAAACATTTGTTAAAAATAGTGTTTAAAAAACAACCCAACTTGAAATGGATGAATGATTCATTGCTGAATCACATCCTGTTCAAAGAGGCAATTTGAATGTTATAATCAACCCTTTATTGGTGTTCATGTTAAAACCAAGGGGAAAAAAATCAGACTTAATATAAATGTATAGAATATGATGAAGATAAAGATATATAATATCATATTTAAATATGAAATCGGTGTTTCCCAACCTTAGTAACTTGAAAAGGTGTGGAGGTCAGCTTGGGGCTCCCATACTAAATTGGAGCTTCTGCAAGCTGACTGAGGAATTCTGGGTCTTGAAGTCTACATATTTAAGCGGCCAAGGTTGAGAAACACTGATCAATTTATTTAGCACTTACCATGGTTGATCAACTACAGATTTGGTATATCTGCTTTTTACATTGTGTCACATTATATTTTTTTCAAAAGTAATGTAAAACCTATAAACATAAGAGAAAAGACCACATTATGACAATATTTCTAGAACTATATTTTGGGAATACAGAAAAGATGGCATGCTTTAAGATTTGGGACAATTCTTGCAGTATATTGAAAATAAGGGTATCTTTCCAAGATTGCTATTTTTGTTCCAAACAATTCCAATAAAGCTGGAAAAAAATATTTTGAGGAGTTAAATAAAATAATGTCAAAATATATTTGGCAAGGGAAAAAAGCAAGAATATGTTTGAAAACATTATGATATTCTAAAAACAAAGGGGGGGGGTTGGGTTGTCCCACTGGGAGCTATACTACCAGGCCTCTGTACTTACATGGGTGAAATAATAGACACATTTGAGACATAGACAAGGTTATTGATTTTGGAGGGACATGATTTGCAATTGGGGTGGCTTGCCTTTTTATAGTATGGGAAAAGCAAAATACAGATACTTTCAAAGACATTAGAAATGCTTTATTATTAGTATGGGCAAAAAATAATAAAAAACATACGAAAATACCAGTCTGGCTTTCCACGATGGAGGAACTGATACATCCAAACATTGTCAATATGGAAAAAATTACAAGATATAAAGAAATTTTAAATGGAAAAGGGGAACTTAAAACAAACCTTAGCGTGGTGGCCATATGTGCAAATACAATTAAGGCATGTGAAAGATGCTAAAATGTATAGTTTCTATAAAGAACTAACAGAACTAGATCAATATTAATAGGGACAGATGAAAAATTATTTTAAAAAATCTATAGCTATCTACTGAGCATTACAATGGAAGAAGAACAAGTAAAGGAAATAATGATAGTATGGGCTAAAATTTTGGTTGTATTGTAGAGTTAGATAAATGGCAGAAATTATGGGAAAGAAACTATAAACTAACAATGTCAGCTACATATAAGGAAAATCTGTATAAGATGTTTTATAGATGGCACTTTCCACCAGCAAGACTGGCAAAGATGTTTAACAACGTATCTGCTAAATGTCGGAAATGTAGTCAGATACCAGGTTCGTATTATTATATGTGATGGACATGCACAAAGGCAAAAAAATACTGGAGAAAAATACATACATGATTAGAAAAAATGGTTAAACAACATATAGATTTAAAACCAGAAATATTTTTATTGGGTGTCTTACCAGAAAAATACAATAAAGGGAATACATACTTAATTTTACATGAGTTAACAGCGGCCAGAATTGTATTTGTACAACAGTGGAAAAACAAAAAGATCCCTACAAATGAAAGTGTTAATAAAAAAAAATATTAGAATGTGCAGAAATGGATAGATTAGTACTTAAAATTAAGGAGAAGAAACAGAATACTTTTCAACTTGCAATTTGTTTTATCAATGGCTAACTAACAGAAACATAAGTTAGAAATTTAAAAGTTAAAGAGAATGCTTATATAAGAAAGATTTACTAAAATGGATAGGCAAATACTATTACTATTATGTGATTAATGTTATGAATATTATTGTTGTTATTATTACTATTTCTCAAAATCAACTGTACCCAGACAACACACTATGTAAATATTGATTTTTTATGTTTAATAAAAAAGAACAGATAATATCAGGAGGAAGAGTTGAACTACTTTAGATGTTAGTTGTCTTAAGCATAACAAATATTTAATACACATTCTGAAATGAAATCGCCCTCCAAAGTTTGCTGCTATTTATTGCATTTGAGATAAAACTTTATTGATAACAGTTGTAGCAAAAGCCTTAAAATGTATAAAACATATTGGAAAGAAATTTTAATGTGGTTTTAAACTGAATCAAAGAAACAAAGTATCATTATTCTCCAGCATGCCTTTGGGATAATCCACACATATGGGTTGAACCTGCCTTTCTGCTCAGAGATTGAGTCGTCAATCTTTTCCACACCTCTTCCTGTTGGGGCAGGAAGCCCTCTAGCCCCAGTCACAACTCAATCTTGGCCCTATAGAGATGTGGCAAAGGTTGGCTCCAACAATTTCAGCAGAACGCAGCAGTTTAAAGTGTGGATTCTCCCAAAGGTTTGCAAAAACTCCCTCAAAGTATCCAAATAACTGTAAACAGGCAGCAATTGGAACTTCTGCCTGCTCTGTTTTTCGCAGCCCCCCTGAACTACCAATTGAAGGCCTAACAGCCCAGGTAGTCAAGGGGGAGATCCAAAATGATCCCTGCCCGGGGTGTGTGTGCTGAAGCTGCAATTGCCCCCACCGCGTCGTGGAGCTCCCAGGTTTAACTGGGTAGCTCCAGGGCAGCTGCTTTCGTTCTCCTTCGAGCTGCTCGGATCATCCAGAGAGTGGGAGGTGCTTCAGTCTGTGTTGATTGTAGGCTGAGTTTAACTATTGCGGAACGTCCCTCCCTCCATCACGTGGCTCCATCCAGGCGTTCCCCCAGTTTCTGCTCAGCCCTGTGAAAGCTAGGCTGCATTGTTTATCCCTCCTTGGCCGTTGCAGGACTTCGCATTTTTGCTTAAGGTTTGCCTTAAATTGTTTTTTCCTTAGCCTCTGGGCATCTGGCTGTGTCTCTAGAGAAGGGGAGAGCGTTCCTTGCCCCCTCAGGGGGGAGTAAAACGGGTGGTATTGAGTGCTTTCGCACTACACCCCCCACCCGCCTCTTTCCCAACTCCTGCCGCTTCCAGCCGCTCTTTGTTAGTGGCTCTAACTGCTTGCGTTTTAAAGCGCTGCTGGTTCTTCCCCCCACACGAATGCCGCGCCGCGCCGCCCCTATCGGCCTCCTAGCTTGCCGGAGGGGTATAATTCCGCCCTGAGCAGCCCCGACGTTTGACTGATAGGCAGCCGCCTTTTTGAGCGCTGCCTCGTGGTCGGGAGCTAATCAGTTTTCCGATCTCCATTACAATGACCGCTGCGAATGTTTCTAGCTCGCCTTACAGGCTTCCCCAGCTTGTTCAGAGCCTCTATTTCTCTTGATATCGTTGGCTATTCCGCAGCAGCGCTCAGGGCGAAGTAGAGCAGCACCCTTGGTACTCCTGGTTGTGTCCTGGGAGCAAAGCTGCTGGAGGCCTCACCTCTCCAACCCAGTGCCTAAAGAGGCCTCAGGCGTTCATTTGACTAATTGGATAAGTTTGCCTGGGTTGCACAGATTGAGATCAGATTTCATGTGACAAAAACAAGAAATAAAAAATAAGAAATAAAATAAAAAATGAAACTAAGAATAAAAAATAAAAAGCAAAACAAAATAAACAATAATATGTGAATATATACCTTGTTTATACATATTTATGTATATTTTCATACTGATAAACAATGCTC